CAACTGCACTCTGCAAGCATCAGACCGGCGAGAAAAGGAGTAGCGGCGTGAGAAACCGTCTCTAACGTCTACCGGCAAGCCTGTGGGGCCCAGGAAACCTCGTCCGGGGGTGATGGCAGCCTGTGAGTGCCTCAGTTATTCAGGACAGAAGATGACAAAGAAGGGTCGTCTTCCGCTTAAGAAATTAGGGAAAGAGAACAAAAACTAAACCAAAAGAAAATAGATGAAATTAATAAAGTTAAAAGCTGAAGTTAATGAAGCAGAAAAACAAAAAAAGAGGAGAAAGGATAAATTAAAATCCTGGGTTTTTCTTTGAAAAGACCAACGAAGTGTATAAATGAGAAAGCAGATCCCCTGTGAATACCGACAGAGCAGGAGCAGTCATGGCAGCACACTTGACAGCCCTGAGGAAACTGCCTTTACAGACTGTGAAACAACAAATGTGCTTATGATTTTAACAGCAGCATCTAATAAGATCCCATTTATGCAAAATCATAAGTGAATGTGTGTGAAGAGGTGCATGTAAGCATGTGGGGGAGTGGGGGGGCCAGCCTGTGTGAGTGGGGGGGCTGTCTGTGTGGGGTGTGAGTGTTTGCACACCCACGTGAGGGGGTGAATGGGTGTGAATGGGCGGTATGTGGTGTGAGTATAGGGGTGCATGTCAGTGGTGGGGGGAGTGGGGACTTGTGAGTGAGTGTGTGAGTGTATGGTACATGCGTGCACAAGCTGAGTGCAGAAAGCAGGGTCCCCACAATGCCGATGCTCCTCTCCAGGGGCAGGAATCCCTGACATGACCTCTCTTCAGACGCTCGGCTGTATGAACTGTGAATTCTGTGCAACGCCAGGTGTTGTTTACAGGAAACACGAACATCCAGGGGTTTCCACGAGGAAACACAACAGGAGGGCTGTCCCATCTCAGGTCTCCAGCTTTCTGCTCTAGGCTTTTGCATGGCCTGGTTCAGGGCTGTCCTCATCACATTGTCCCCTGCACAAAGACAAGCTGGAAACGCCCCTGGCCTGCTTACTTTCTCTTTTTTTTTTTTTTTTTTAAAAGATTTTATTTATTTATTTTTCCCCCAAAGCCCCAGTAGATAGTTGTCTGTCATAGCTGCACATCCTTCTAGTTGCTGTATGTGGGATGCGGCCTCAGCATGGCTGGAGGAGTGGTGCCTCGGTGCGCACCCGGGATCCGAACCCGGGCCGCCGGCAGCGGAGAGCACGCACTTAACCGCTAAGCCACGGGGCCGGCCCAGCTTACTTTCATACTCGTCTCTCTGCATGGCTAATGCCGTTTTCAGTTGGCTTGCATCAGATGTCCCTCACGTATGCTTCTGCTCACAGCTGTGCCCCTTTGGCAGACACTGATATGGCTTGTCAGCCGCACCGCCGCTTGACGAGGGGCGGGTGGCCGGCCAGGGGGAGCTGGAGTGGTGCAGTTGGTTCTTTGGGTGTGGCCCCTTTCACGCAGCATGGCGACTCTGAGTCCCTCCTACTGCTCAGTAGTGCCCTGCCATGGGGACGCGCCTCAGTGTGTTCCACCCTTCACCTGCTGGGCGACATTTGGGTTGTGTCCAGTCTGGTGCTGCCATGAACGTGCGAGTCTGTGTGTGGCCACATAAATTGATTTCTCTTGGGTAAATAAATGCCTAGGAGTGGAATCATTGGGTCATTATGGTAGGTGCATGTTTCACATTTTAAGACACAGCCCACCTGCTTTCTGAAGCGGTTGTACCATCTTACATTCCCACCAGCAGTGTGTGAGAGTGCCAGTTCCTCCACATCCTCGTCAACACTTGGTATGGTCGGTCGTTTGCACTTCAGCCATTCTAATAGATGATAAATGTTTGGGAATTTTCAGAGCTGACTATTAAACACCACCATTATTAAAAAATACATTATGTATGGGCCGGCCCGATGGCATAGTGGTTAAGTTTACACACTCTGCTTCAGCGGCCCAGGGTTCACAGGTTCGGATCCCAGGCGTGGACTTACGCACCACTCGTCAGTGGCCATGCTGTGGCAGCATCCCACATAGAAAATAGAGGAAGGTGGGCATAGATGTTAGCTCAGGACTAATCTTCCTCAGCAAAAAGAGGCAGATTGGCAACGGATGTTAGCTCAGGGCCGATCTTTCTCACAAAACCAGAAAATAATAATAATAATAAATTATATAAACTTCCACTTAAATAAATTATATTAGAAACAAAAGAGATACTCAAAAGTCATCACATCTTACTTCAGCATACACTTACACTACGAACCAGGGCTTGATCTATTATAGTTTGGCTCTGTAGACTTGCGTCTGTAGTCATTACATTGTGAATAGGAAAAAAAAAGGAAGTACTTTTCCAATATCAAAAACTATTATCCAGCTCAGCAAAGGAGTTGCTCATGTCACCAACGAACATGTGAGGTTCTAACATGCATCTTCGTGGTTTCACTTTCGTCTTACTCATTAGGATACATGAAAATATCAACCAGCATTTGTGTGGGAACCACACTCGTTCATTAGTTGCAAGCATGGGATGATACAGATACGAGAGTTCAGCAAAAGTCAAAGAAGGGATTTTGCGAGAATAAACTGGCCATATGAAATTTATAAGTGTATTGTATATTTTGTAGATATTGTAGATTTCATTATTTGTACATAGTGTGCTCACATCCCTTATACCAGTAAAATGCATAATAAACTTATATACGTATGTGTGTGTGTTGTGTATATATATATATATAGAGAGAGAGAGAGAGAAATCAATATACACACACATACACATACATGGGCTTACAATGACTTTCCTGGAAAGCTGTGGTCACCCGTTTTATCAGCACATCACTGCTTTCAGGCAGCAGTGGGGCAGGCATCAGCCTGTCTGCGCCGTGCAGAAGGCATGAAGCTCGGATGGCTAGTCAAAGCTGGGCTCAGGCAGGGTGCCTGAGGCCAGGCTGCCGTGAGGCCAGAAGAGCGCAGAGTGATGAAGGAGAGGCATCTGGGCTGTGAAAGGTGAGAGGGCATGGAACCGAAGACCACTCTGCGGTGGTACCTGCGGCCACAGATCAGGCTGTCAACCTGCCCACCCAGGCCTGGACTTGAGTCCCCCCTGGCTTGCTTGCCAAGTGAGAAGGGCCCCTCTTGGCATCACCCACTCAGTGATTGGTGACAGCCAGATAAAGGGGACTTCAATCCTTATGGTGCCCCCTACTCTTTCAGCTCCCACCTGGCACAGGCCCCTGGACTGAGGGCCGGCCCTGGCCTGGCCTTGTGGCCCTCTCCCAGGTGGGTGCTCTCCCGGGGCAGGGAGCCAACTAGCCCTCTTCGAGAAGCTCAGCAGTGCATGGACCACACTTCAAACTAGCCCCCTGCCAGTCTTTCCCTTACGTTGTACCCTCCCCCACCCCTGCCATTCTGTCCTTGGCCAGGCCAGTGGCTCTCCCTCCAACAGAGCCCCAACCCCTGTGCTCCTCTCTCCCCTGATTGCTGTCCTCCCCCTCCAGGCCTGCTCTAGTCCATTCTCCACATAGAAGCCTGAGAGCTATTGTAAAAACATCAATCAGATTTTGCCCCTCCCGTTTACAACCCTCTGTGGCTCCCCATTGTCTTCGGGGTCAGTCCAGGCCCCCTGGCCTCAGCAATGAGGATGGACTGAGGTGGCCACTGCCTGGGTTCTGGCCTCATCATTCTGCCACCTTGCACATTGCAATGGCTCTAGTCACTTTGACCTACTTAGGGTTCCCAGAACGGGCCCAGCTGGCTCAAGGCTCGAGGCTTTGCTCATGCAAGTCACCCTCAGGCGTGGCCACCCCACCCATCCCACCCTTCTCACCTGCTCTCCCTGTCTCCCGGACATCCTGCCTCTGCCTTGCCCCCTTGTTTGGTGACACAGGTGTGGCCCCAGAGGCGGGTTAGCCAGCTCCTAAAGCCCATCTAAGGCGGCTGCTGAGAAGCTGCCCTCCCCACAGAGCAGCCTCCTGGACTTCCTCAGGCTGCACCACAAGGGACACGGGGCCCAGGAGGGACTTCTTCCTAGGAGTCGCCCTCACTCTCCTCTCCTCACCCCAGCTCTCCTACGTGCCTCAGGTCAGGTCTCAGCCCAGCCTGCCTCCAGGCATCGTGCCCCTCACCCCATGCGCTACAGTGGGTCCTCTTTGCACTTGACTTGCACATTTAAGGTCCTTTTCATGTATGTGCCTGCGTGCAGCAAGGGGCACGCCCGCTTATTCTCCAGCAGCCAGAGTGTGCCAGGCACTGTGCTGCTCTGCGTACCTAAAGTACCATTCCATCCTGTGGCCACTTTGCAGAGCAGCGACAGAGGCTCGGGGAGACGGAGGAGTTGGTTCGGGGTCCCACAGGGGGCAAGTGCTGGAGCTGGGCTCTGCACCCAGGCGGGCAGCCTGCTCTGCGGGCTCGGGCTTAGCTCTCTGGGCAGAGAAAGCCCGAGCTCCCTAGAGGCCAGGGCTGCAGCTCCTTCTCCCACCTCCCTCCCAGGCACAGATTGGGAACCACAGCAGATGGCCCTAAGGCCTTATTCACTGATTTCTTGGGCCTCTGGGGTAACAACGCAGGGAGGCAATGGTAGGAGACCAGCCAGAGAGGAGGCCCATGGCTCGGAGGCCACAGCCTCAGCTCGTCAGCCCCCTGGATCAGCCTGTGAGCACTGACATCTCCCACCCCCACTCCCCCACCCACCCGGCTCACGGCAGGAAGAGGCCAAAAGGGGGTGAGCCTGGGGGTCTCTGCTCTGGCCCCCAGCCTGGCTCCCTGCCTGCTCCCTCTGGGCAGGGCATGGGGGGCAGCTGCAAAGTCAGCTGGTGAGCAGTTGGCAATGTTTATTGAGGGACAGGGTAAGAGGTGGGAGCCCACGGCAGCAAAGTCCACTGGAGCACGGGCCAAGGCTGGGGCTGGGAGAAGGCTCTAGGGCTGCCAGCCCAGTTAAGCCAGGGCCAGGGGAAGGCCTAGCAGGTGCACGGGCCGGGGCTGCCCAGCTAAGAGGATGGGGGGAGGGGCAGCGAGGCACTGGTCCGGAGCCAGCTCCAGGCCTCAGAGCTCGGTTCAACCGTGAAGGCTGGCGCTGCCCGTGCTACAGGGAGTGGGCCTCATCTCCCTGGGTGAGGGCGTCGCTGAGCCCCTGGCACTCAGGCCTCGAGGCTTGGACCATCAGGTGGCGTGTACATGGGCTCCACATGGGCCCAGCTGCAGGCCTGCTCATCAGCCCAGGCGAGCAGCTCAGCAGCGCGGTGCAGGAAGACCATGAGGAGGGTGTGCACATCGCCCTCGGCCGAGTGGGCCGCGCTCGGCTCTGCCTGGAAGTAGCGGCGGAAGAGGCTGCCCAGGCTGTAACTCTTGCAGCCCTGGGCATGAGTGCCATGGCTGTGGGCACAGTTCAGGTCCCGCAGCGCTGGCAGCGTGTCCAGGCAGATGGTGTCCTGGGGTAGGTGGGCGCCCAGGCGCCGCAGCTCCGTGCACAGCAGGGGGAAGTCATAATCGAAGCCGTTGTGGGCCACAAGGCAGATGGGGCCCTCCTGGCGGCTCAGGAAGGCCTGTAGCATCCGAACCACAGCCCTGTTGAAGCTGGCCTTCTGGCACCGCGCCAGGCCCTCACTGCTCAGGTCGGTAATCTCACTGGCCTTGGCAGTGAAGGGGTGCTCTAGGCTCACGCACAGCGTGAGCTTGTCCAGGACCCGGGGTGGCACCGGGGCACCAGACTCGTTGCGCTCTGGGTTCTCCAAAGACGAGCGGTGGACAGCAAACAGGGATATCTCAGCGATCTCAGGGTCCACACTGGGTAGCCCAGTGGCTTCCAGGTCCAGGAAGACGAAGGTCTCCGCCCGGGGTGCCTCGGACATGGTGATGTTCTCACAGGTACAGCGATGCCTAAAACTGTCAGAGCAGGAGGCATGAACCCTGAAAGCCGAGATGCGGAGGCCTGAGCCCAGATACCCACAGCCCTTCACTTCCTGCCCCCACCCACCTCATAGGACTTGAAGCTCTAAAGCAGTTGCCAAGACCCTCATCCAGGGAGACTGCTAACGGGCCTCCAGAGCTGGGACCCAGCGACCAAGGCATATTACTTCTGTCCAGGATGAGGCCTTCTAGGGGCTCGTCACCCTCTCCATTCTGTCCCCTGGTCCCTCTTTGGCCATCCCCACTACTACCACCTAGTAAACAGCAAAAGGAAGGCCTGATGTGCATATCGCCCTCGGCCGAGTGGGCCGCGCTCAGCTCTGCCTGGAAGTAGCGGCGGAAGAGGCTGCCCAGACTCCAGCCCGGAGGCATCTGCCTCCTGACTCCAGGTAAATGGAGGGGAAGTGTGCTAGGTCCATGTCATCGGGGACTTGTGGAGGTACAGCCCAGGATAGTATCTTCACCAAGACACCTTGGCCGGGATCCTCAGGCATAGCACCTCGTGTCTGCACCCCTGCGGTCAGCTGCCAGGAAACAGGCAAGCAAGGCACCCAAGAAAGCCCTCACGGTGATCCCCAGCCTCCCTGGCTCAGCCTTCCCTGGCCTTTTCCCTGACACACAGATGCTGGCCCCAACCTGGCCTCCACCTGCCTCTGGGCTCCCAGCCGCTGCCCTCACCAACCCTGCCACACTGGCTCACCTGGGGCAGGCGCTGGCCAGCTTCCTGGGCTGCTGGGCACCTGTCTCCACAAAGGCTGATCCAGGCAGCCTTTAATCAGCAGCTGTGGCCCACCCCCAACCGCCTGTTCGGTAACAAGGAGGCCTGAGGCCGTAGGACCTGTGCAGCTGGCTCGCCACCCCCTCGCTCACTCACAGCCACTGGGACACACGCCCTGTGTTTACAGATTGGAAAGCAGGATCCCAGGCTGCATGCAGGCTCCCGATGAGTGCAGCTTGGGCTGGAGGAACGTGTCGTCACAGGCATGAGGAGGAAGCCCAAGGCCTCTGCCCAGCCCTGCCTCCAAGCCTGACCAGGGCCAGGCCACAGCAGCTGGGCCTAGCCCACCTGGGTTCGATGCCCAGCCCCATAATGGGGCACCTTCCACAAAGGCAAACGAGCCCCCTTCTCCAGGGTGTGGTTGCCCCTCATGAGGCTCAAGCGAGCTCAGGAGTGGGAAGGAGGCTGCTCACCCACCTTGCGGGCTCCTCTTCCACTAGAAAGGGGAGATGGTATCTGGTTCACAGGTATAATGACCCATAATATCTAAGGAGACTTTAGCAGAGGTGCCGGGGAAGGAGGGAGGCGTGAGGTCTGCAGCTTCGGCTGAGCCGATCCTTCCCTTTCGAAGGACAAGCAACGTGACAGGCAGGGGTAGGGGACCACCCCAGTGGCACCCGCAGCTCCAGGACCGCAGGAGCAGGAGTGAAGCCCAGCCCCTCCAGCCCTAGGTTTCGGGGTGTATACAGCCCACCAGGCACAGTCAAGACGGGAGGGAAGCAAGAAGGCCCTCCCTGGTCCAGCAAGCAGGTGGCATCATCCCAAGGACCTCATTCCAAAGCAAGACGTGCCAGCACTCAGTGGTGGGTGCCTGCAGGCCTGGCCTCCTGCTGGGGGCACAGAGAGGCAACCAAAATGCTGGCTGCAGCCTGCCCGCTGCAGGCCCTCATGAGTCCCTTGGCTTGTAAAACCGTTGGCACACCTGGACAGTGGTGACCACAGGCCTGCCTGTCCTCCCACCTCCCAAGCAGCCATCTGGGAGATGCCCAAAGCAGGTAACTGGGGCCAGGGGCTCTGGCAGCCTGGGCGAGAAGGGGTCTGGTGCCCAGCTCCCGGGAGCCTCCTTGTCTGGAGCACCCACAGGAGACGGGGAAGTGAAGGAGCAGGGCAGAGCGGGTGCAAGTGAGGCTGGGGGCCAGGATGGGCCAAGCATTCAGAGGGAGACCCCTCCTCACCCCGGGGCCTGTCACACCTGTTCCCAAGCTTGAAGGGAGGGAGATGGCTGTGACAGGTATACTGCTCAGGGAGATACTGGGTCACCCTGGGAAGCCCAGAGAGTAGCTTCCTGGACAACCAGTCAGGCCACCGGCAAGAATTCCCCAGACTGGTGCCAGGAGCCCTGGAGAGGAAAGAGGAGGAAACATGCCCTGCCCACCCACTGGATCCCAGAGACAGTGGGTGCCAGCGGCCCAGCTGAGGGACTGTGAGGAGTCCTCACATGGGACCCCGAGGCTGGTCACTGGGTAGCAGACAGCAGGGCAGGGGGCAGGCTCTGGTTGCATGTGGCCAGGTATCACGGCGAGGTGGAGACTTCTGGGGCTTGGCATCTGGCAGGGGAAGGAGCACCCAGGGCGGACAGGGCAGGAGAGGGGCAGGGCCCAGGCCCCCAGGACAACAGGGGGCTTGCAGCCAGGCGCACCCAGGACTCAGGACAGCCAGGATGGGAAGAAGGAGGATGGAGCAGCGGGGCACCACGGACCCCTCAGCCCAGGCCAGACAGCAGAGGGAAGGAGGCGGTCACATGGAGCCAGGGAAGCAAGAAGCAGGCTGGAGGCAACTTTGTAGAACCCGAGGTTTCCTTTCTCTCCAGCTCACATGGCTGTCCTGCCCCACCTCTGACCCCTTCCTCCCTCCCCCTCCCAAGGAGCTGAAGGCACCAGGCATTTGGAGGCTGTGCCCAGAGAATACGGGGGCTGTAAGTGCTTCTCCTGATGATGGCTCAGCCCTTCCCGGCTGCCTGGCTCTCTGAGTTGGAGCATCCTGCTCCCAGCCGACCCTGCGCCTTTGCGCAGACCGTCGTTGAAGATCTTATATTTCTGGGTTACTTCTTCCATTTTGGTGGCTGCAGAGAAAAGAAAAATGCAAACAGCAAATTGAGTCTCGTGCTTCCCAGCCCGGAAGGGGCAGTCTCCTCCTGTCCCCAGCCAGGCATCTCTTTCACCGGCTCTCCTCAGGCCCTGGGCACCCCAGCACCTGGCCTTCAAGGGGCTTGCAGCCTGGGGGCCTGACTCCTACTGTGACCCGGAAACTGCCAAGCCAGGAGCTGCTAAGGAGCCACACTCACCAGGCCATGTCCCTGCCCATTGCACCCCCACCAGAGCCCAGGAGCTGGGAGATGTTCTGATTTTGATGGTGTGTTCAATTTTAATCGGACCAGTAACCTACATACCCAAACAGATCAAATGACACGGGCCTTAGCTGCTCACCTGACCCTGCAGGCAACTGCTGTGAACTGCTGCTTGGCTTTCAGAGGTGGGGGGACGCCACCACAACATGCACCTGCCTCTCAAGGTACCAACTTCAGATAATGGCCATGGGACGCAGAATGCAGGGACTTTAGCTCACTCTCCCTCCCTTGGAGACTAGGGCTCCTCCTTTGGGTTCCCTGGCAGTGGTGCCTTAGCTTCAGTAGACAGCCTGTCCTTCCTCCACCACCTTGCCTCCCTCCCTCCAAGTGGTCCTCTCCTCTCCCACATGGCCAACTCATTAGCTGGCATTTGGTCCTGCCAGTCCCAAGGATGACTCTGAAGCTCAAGAATCATGGGGTGTGCCTTGGTACATGGGTACTGGGCCTCGGGGTGGACTCCTTGCAGAGCTGGGACCAAGCTCAGCCCACCCAGGCCTGGCTCCAACGACCCTCTCCACTGGCCATCAATGCTCCCGCGGGGGTCAGTCTAGCATGCTTCCCATCGCGATCACGTTTCTCCACAGGTGGGGTTCTCCTAGGTCCCTTCGGGTGTCATCTGCCTTTACCGAATCCTCAGGTTTTCCCAGCCTCCAGACTCCCTCCAGCTCGCTCTGCTTCTGGGGCTGCCCCCAGTCCCGGGTGCTTTGTCAGCTCACGTGTCTCCCTTCATCCCGGGCTCGCATCACTACCTTGCCCTCACTTGGCTCAGAGTTCGGCTGGGTCTTGGGTCCTAAGCCAGAAGCCCCTAGCCCTCCAAACGTGCGAGGCCTTAGCCTCTGGAGGCCGTGGGCTCTTTGGAAACTAGGGCCCTAGTGCTGCATCCCTGCTACTCTGGGTTTCAGGAGGCTGGGCCTGGCGATGCGTCCTTTGGGCTCCATCTGCTCTGTACATGGAATCTGGAGACGCCCGTCAGCTCTGCACGTCCGTCGCTTCACTGGTAACCTCTGCCTCCGTTTTTGTGTGTGTGTGTGTGAGGAAGATCATCCCTGAGCTAACATCTGCCAATCCTCCTCTTTTTGCCGAGGAAGACTGGCCCTGGGCTAACATCCATGCCCATCTTCCTCCACTTTATATGGGACGCCGCTACAGCATGGCTTGCCAAGCGGTGTGTCGGTGCGTGCCTGGGATCTGAACCGGCGGACCCCGGGCCGCCGAAGCAGAGCATGCACTTAACCGCTTGCACCACCGGGCCGGCCCCTCTGCCTCCGTTTTCCCTCCTCTCTCTGGAGAGCCTGGGAGCTGCCTGGATGGAGCCTCTGCACCGCTTCTCTTTGTCTTCATTTTGTTTGTCTCTTTTCTCTCTATTCTTACAGATTTGTTGCCTCATTTTGTTTTCTACTCTTTCTCTTGATTTTTTCAACACTTTGGCAACCATTTTTAACTATTTTCTAGGTATGTTTGGACATGATACTGAGTATGTCAATTCAAGTTTGTTGGAAAGTTCTCTGAATGATCCATTAGCCCTGCTTTTCCAGGTCTTTCTTCTCTCGTCCACGGTGTTGATCCAGGTTGGGGAGAAGAGGCCTGGGAAGCTGGCACACTGGTCGCGCTCTGCTCTGGCGGAATCGCCCATTTCCCGCAGGGTCCCCCCACCAGGAGTTCAGCAGGCAGGGACCAGCCCTCATGCCACGGACCCTCAGAGGCCAGAAAAGAGCTGGGCTTCCTCTGGGCCGCCAGCCACACAAGGACCCTGGGTTTGCCATTCACGTCAATTCTTTTCTTCACAAGAAAGCAGGCTAGGGTCTCACTGGGAGCACCAACCTGTACACACCTGCAGTGCTTGTGCCCTCTGTGTCCGGCCCAGTCGCCACTGCCCTCTCCTGTGGCTGCCAGCCACACGGCCCTGGGACTGTGGCAGTTCCACCAGGCAGACCAGCTCCCCCACTGCTCCCTCAGGCTGTCCTCTTGGCTATGGCTTTCTCCACCCATTGCATCCAGTAAATTGCTCCCATCCACTTTCTAGGTTCTAGAAACCTGTGACCATTTCTCCATGTCAGTGCCATCAACTCCCCTCCCCCAAGTTCAGCACTGAGAGGGTTGCTTCGTTTTCAAAATGTATCAATATTTTCATGGCACTGGAGTCTCCAGAGGCCTGTGAGGCAAATGAGGCTTCAAGTCCACCCAATCGAGATGGCAACTGGTGAATGACAATTGGACAAGCTGCCCACCAATGTCGCCAAGGCCCTCCCTGTGCACACGAGGCCCAGGCTCTGGACACAGGCCCAGCAGGCACGCCCAGCCCCTCACACAAGGCTCTCATTTCAGATGTGGGGACGTGCGACCAACACAGTCTGGCTACTGGCACCCAGATCAGTGGCCTAGCTTCTTATTCTGGGAGGGGAAGTAGCACAGACACACACACCTTCAACAGTGGGAGGGCCTGAGGAGGTCGGTCGTGGATCCCGAGGCCCTCCATTTGTCAGGTGGAAACAGGGGAAATGCAAAGGCCGTTCTGACTGGCCCTTGGAGTGGAGCTGGCATAGACCGTTTCTCTGGCGTGTCTATAGCTCAAGAACTCATCGCAAACAAAACCTGGTAGCTGCATTGACAAGAGCAGAGCCGGAGGGCTGGAGAGGCCAATTGCCCCCACAGGCCCTGCCCCCTCCGAGCAGAAGGCAGCAGCACCATTTGGTGTAGCGCTTTCCCTCACGACTCTCCAGAGCCGCGGAGGCAACCAGACAAGCGGCAAGCAGGCGCTAGGCGCTTCTCTGCACGCAGAGCGCCGGGGAGGGGAAGGGAGGGGGCGGTTCCCACAGCTTAGATGTCAACAGCGCCTGTCTAAAAGGTAAGATTTGCCTCAGTCCTGTGGTCATAGGTGAGATGGCACATGGTGAAGACCACTGACAACTATTATTACATTAATGATAGCATGGATTATAAGCATCTTATTAACAGCAATTATAGACACTGGGGGTGAGAGTCACAGTGACAGTGGTGATTAGGATAAACATGATAAATTTTAAAATGGAGGATTCTGTTGCGGTTCAGTCAGAAAAAGAGACTGCTGAGTGCCAGGTCTCCACATGGCAAGTGTGTGCGTGCCAAGGCCAAGAGCAGCGAGAAGGCTGCTGCGGAGGAGAGGGCTGGCTGGAGAGTCCCTGCAAAAATAGCCCTCCAAAGGGACAGCACCAAGGCTCCATGACCTAAAGCCACTCCTTAGGGGTGCACTGGGGGGACACACTTACAGGCAAATGTTTTAGTCACTGCTGCCTGAGGTGGAGGATAAGAGGTGGGGCAAACAACGGATGAACCAAAAAAGGCTGCATGAGAGGCTGAGGCCGAGACATCCGCAAGGGCTTTAAAAAGCTCGGCCTCCTGGGAATCTCAAAGGCCCCGCGCATGCCCAGGGCTATGCAGATGCCCAGGAGAGACCTGAGAAGGCCCTGAGCAGTTGTCTCTGGCTGACCCTGAGGCTCAGAGCAAGCAGGAAGTGAAGGAGAAGGAAGAGTCATCAACTGTATGGCCAAGTGTTGATGAAAAACATGAAGCCACACACCCCAGAAGCTCAAAAAACTCAAAGCGATCCACACAAAGACATATTATAATCAAACTGTCAAAACCCAAAGACCCAGAGAATCTTGGAAGGAGAAGAGGAAAGGGACTCTTCAAATGGCCCATGAACCCTCAAACATCTACCATCTGGCCCTTTACACAAAAAGGTTGCCAACCTCAGGTACATGGCAGTGAAAAGGAACAAGTTACAGAAACACGTGGCAGACGGATCTCAGAGACACAACCATCCCCATGCCAGGAGAGCAGTTAGCTGGGGGGTGTCTATGGTGCTAGACAGGGTCTATTTCTTGGCCTGGGTCATGGTTACACAGCCTTCACTTTAAAATCATTTGAAATGGATGAAAGGGGGTTTGTCATAGCACAGGAAAAATCTCCAAATATTTCATGTTTCTATCCCTAGGAATTGAGACTCCTCCCTAAAGGCTATTTTTCTTATTTAAAAACAAAAAAAAAACACCTTTCCTGAATGTCTATTCCCTTAACAAAAAAATAAACTTACACAGAAAAAAAAGATTAATTATAACTAAAGTCAGATACAATTTTGTCCCACCCAATAGCGGAAATGCGGGAAGGACAAACCTAGCACTGAGGAGGCTCCAGGGAGATGGACACCACCTGGCCTTAAAGCAGTGCTGAGGCAGCCTCCCGACCACGGCATCGGGAACCCCACCCTAAGGACGCAATCTCAAATGGGAACACACTTTACGTCTAAACATGGTCACTGCACCCTTTTTTAAAGATTGACAATCAGGGTAGGGGGTGCCTAAGTAAAACATGTTCATTGGGGAATATCTGAAGACCACAGACCAGGATGAAGAAACAGGAATTGAATGAAACCACCTCTGATTCCGACACAGAGGAAATCAATGTCTACGTTCTGGCTCACTTCCTGCAGGGGGTTCCTCTACAGTTTTTTCCTTTAGAAAGGTAAGATCATACTGTATATTTCAACCTGCATTTTCTCTTTGACATTCTATAATATGCATTTCCTCACATCATCGTAACCAACTTTTGAAACAACAAATACAACCCCATCATACACACAATACGATTATTTACCCAAGCCTTACCCAACGGGAAAAATTTGGGTTGTTTCCATTTTTCACTAGTGCAAATCCTGTGACAGCATTATGTAGAATAGTAAAAAAGGGAAAATGACCTACGGCTCAGCAATAGAAAACGTTTAGCAAATTATAGCAAATTAAAAATGTTACCTAGAGAACATGGGAAAATGCTTGAAATGAGGTCCAAGAGAAAGAACACAATATAAAACTGTACACGCTGTGATGACACATAACTTATAACAAAGAAATAAAAAATGAGAGGAAAGATAATAGTGGGAAATAGACCAAAATCTTCACTCTGAGCATCTCTGGGCCAACAGGTTATAGACTGTTTTTATTTGATCTCTGCACGTCTTTGGGTTATCCCAATTTTTTACAATTAATATTTTTATTTTATAATGTCAAAAGCATTTTTTCAAGGGAAGAAGAAGAAAGAAGTAACAGGTCGGTCCCCAAATGTTGGTGGAGCACAGATGGAGCTCACGCATGAGGTGCGCTGGGACAGCCCCGTCCCTGACCATTGAGCCAGCAACCACATACCTAGACTCATCTCAGAGCTGTTGCTGCCCCAAAAGATCTGCTCACTCTGCTGCTGCTTCACCATCTCCACGGTTTCAGCCCAGATGCCAGTGACCTCCATGACTGCTTTCAACAGCTGGGGTGGGAGGAAGGAGGAGGACATGTGGGCATTAAGTGCTGGTGGTCTAACCTGAGAAGGCATCTCCTGTTTCCCACCCAGGATCACATTAAGCATGTGCTCCTCCCTAGGCCCTTGACCACGGGACATTCACCCCCAAGGACAGTGTAGGCTGAAGGCAGGACTCCTAGCTAGCTGGAAAGTCACCAATCAGAGTTCTCCAACCTAACTCCCTTCCTCCTGGCCCAGCGGGATGCCACACTATCACGTGCCCCATCCCACACTGGTAGCCAAGCAAAGCCAGTGGCGCAGTGGGAAAATCAATGTTCCAAGATAAGAGGGCCTTTCTGATGGGAGAAGACTATACCCTAACTTGCCCTGTTGGCAAATTGCAAAGGACAAGCTGGTCAGAGGTTTGGAAGTCTAGGAGCTTTTCTGCTAAAAAACCAAGACAGACATCGTGGAAGCCCTGAGCCAATATCAGAGGTCCACATGTGGCAACTATACTCATAATCATAAACAAACACAGCGTGGGGGCCCACCCCAACCTGCCCAAGGTCCCAGGGTGAGGGCCAGAGCCCGGAGGCAGCAGCCCACCTGTGCGTCATAGGGAGCCCAGGCCAAGCCCCTCTCAGACCTTTGTCCCAGCCCTCAGGTCCCTTGCTGGGGGCTGCAGTGACAGCTGAAGGGGAGGGGCTGAGAGAGGGGAGAGGGTGACTCTTACTTGGCTGCACGACGTCAGAATCTGGCACACGGCCTGGATGATGGGGCCACACGGGTGGAGGTAGGGGCCTGGGCGTTGGAAGCACTCAGCCAGCTCATCGTCATAGACTTGGAGGAAAGCCACAACAAGCTGGTGGAAGTCAGAGACAACCAGGCGCAGCTTCTGGTCCAGGGTGCCGGTGTCGGCCCTGTTCACCTCAGCCCCTTGCTGGTGTTGCACAAAGCACTGCAAAGCCAGAGGCGGAGAGTCCGTCAAGGTTCCCCTGCTTGCCCCTGCGGTACCAGGTCCCTAGCCTGCTTCAGGGGCAAGGTCTGCTGGCCACCCCATGCTTCCGCAGACCAGGTGACATAAGACCAGAGGCAGAAAAGAGCAACTCAGTGTCAAACAAGGCCGCCTGGCTTCTGGCCTCAGTCCTGCAACTTCTTCCTGTGCCAGCCTCCATCTCCTCTTCAGGAAAATAAGGATGCCAGGCCAAGGGCTACTGGGAGGACCACAAGTGAGAAAGCGTGGGACAGCCGGGAGCTCAGGGCCTGGCGCACAGCCTGCCCTAGGCAGATCCTTTCTGTTCTTCGGAAAGCCTCCCCGCTCCTGCCCAGAGCTTGTCTGCCTCCCCCTTCACGTGGGCTGAGCACCCACCACATTCTAGAACCCGTCAGGCCCTGCGCACACACCACCTCACTTATGCCTCACAACATACCCACTTTAAAAGTGGGGCACCTGAGGCTGGGGGAGGTGTCGTTCTTTGCCCAAGGACACAAAGTGGGGCCCCTGCAGCCAGGCCCTCGTCTCCAACCTCTGTAGCTCCCAAGACCTGGTGCCCCTCACCTCTACCCTGAGTGCCTGCAGCTTAACAGCGCTCTCCTGTAGCTGTCTGACCAGCTCCAATGCCTTCTCCTCCTCCAACTCGACAGAGGGGCTGGCCCTGCAGGGAGAGAGGGGGGACACTTACAGCTCTGCACCATCACAAGCATCAGGGCACCTGTAGGCGACACATGGAAGGGTGTGTCCCAGGTAACAGAACCAAGCAGGGCACGTACCTCGGCCCATCATCACTCTGCTTGTCGAGGAGGGGCTGCATGTCCAGGGGCCACGGGTCACACTTGGGGCTCAGGAGCATCTGTAGGTGGGAGCTGGAGAACAGCTCCCCCAGCAGCGCCTCATTCTTCTCCCTGGTGTCGTCAAAGTGCTCCTTCACACTGCAAAAATACAGCCCCAGGGCCATGCTGTCAACGGCCGGAGCATGGCCTCCAGGTACCATGCTAGCAGCCCTGCCAAGGCCCCTGGCCTAGGGAGCCCTCGGTCCCATGGGGGCAATCCAAGAGGCAAAACGAGACCAGGCAGAGAGGCTGAGGGAAGGGGTCTCCTCCAGTCCCTGCCTGCTCTGGCAGCCAGAGCCAAGCCCCACTCGAAGAGCCCACCTGCCTGTAGCGCCAGCCTGCAGTACACCTGCACACTGACAGCCTGGGACCTTGGACAGCGCCCCGGGGGGTGTCCTGCCTGGGCTTACAACCTACAGCTCCTGGGCTGGCATGCAGCTGCTGCCAGCAGAGCGAGGAATAAAACCTCAGCTGGAGATGTGCCTGGTGGTAGGCCTAGGTGCCCAGCGGGCCCCCTAGGCCCCACCAGCTCCAGCTAGAGGACCAAGGGCGCCTGTCACCTGTTGTGTGGAGGGCCCATCCCAAGCCTTCACCTGGAGCAGCTGGAATATCCGATGGTCAAGCTCCGGATCACGTCCAGCAGCTGGTCCAGGAAGTGCAGTTGCTTCTGGGCGCAGGCCCGGCCCTGGGCAGGGAAAGCCACATGCATCTGCTGGCCAGGCATGCCAGGTGCCACTGCCCAAACACCCTGCCCTGCTGGGGCTAGTGGAAAGGAGGGGCCTGGCCGCCAGCTCCCTGGTCCCTGCCCAGCAGCATCTTGGACTGGCTCGGGCACCTTGGCCTCAGGGGCTGCTGTCATTGAGTGTTCCTGGCTCAAGCCCAGCCCCAGGCTGCAATGATGCCTGGGACCACCCTCTGGAAAGTGGCAAGTACCATAGAAACAGGCGGAAGTGTGTGCTCATCACACATCCTACAGCGCCGCCTCTTGGGTGGGCATGTTGAGCACAGCAGAGCCAGCTGAAGGCAGAACACAGCCCACAGGGACCTAATGGTGGCCTGTTCCACAGGAACATCCCCAGGAGGAGGCCTATTCTTGGCAGATCACCCTCCGCAGCCAGGAATGGCCAAAGCTGACCATCACAGCAAGACGAGACCATGCAGGTGGACTGCACTGACCCCGCTCCTCTCCAAAGGATCTGCCGGGCCAAGAGCTCAAGGCTTCAGAACTACAATTCCTTCCTCCTTCCAGAAAGGGGAGGAGGCTCGCAGCCGATCCCCTGGACCCAAATGCTAACACCCTGAGAGGCCTAGCCTGCTCCAGAGAGCCCTGTGTTAGCAGGGGTGCTGAAAAGAAAGCTGGCCCTGTCTCTCCATTTTAGCCCCTCTCCATTTAGCCCTCAGTGCCCCTGCCCTGCCACACCCACTATTCTGAGAAATGCATCAGAAGGATTCACTCAGCAGGCCTTGCTGGCAACTGAACTACCAAGCCCTTTAAGAAGCATTTGCACTTAAAGTGGCATGGAAGGCACAGGCTGAAGTGAAAGGGCTGAGAGGCTCCTGGTGGCACTTTAGGCCAGGTGGCCCTGGGTGGGGAGGAGATTTGGAGACAGGAGTGCGCTCTACTCCAATGTTTACAGCTCACCTCCCTGTCCACGGGTTCTCTCTGGAAGTCCCTGCAAGCCAGGCTCCCAGCTGTGTGACCACATCAACAGGACCAGTGTCTCTGGAAGCTTCTGGCATCTCCATCTCCATGCCCTCAGCTTGCCACTGGCTGCTTGGGCCTCATCACTACCTCCTGTTGACTCATCCTCCCACTCTGCCCAAGTCACTCTGAGCCAAAGTGACACACCTGAAGGGCAGCCTGGGAGTAGGAGGTAGGGGATGGGACACTGTCAACTCAGGGGATAGCCCAGACAGAAACATGAGAGCAACTGTCACTCAGGATCTCACAAAGCCTTGACCAGTGGCCAGGGCTGGGACCCCCTGCCTGCTGTCCCCTCCTCAGCACAGATCTGGCTCTGATAGCGCCCCATGCCGAGGAAGGGGAAGGTGCCCCTGCTCAGGGCTCTGCCAGCCTGGGGTGGGGCTGGGACTGTGGAACTGATCCCACTGGGCAGTTCTGGCCTGTGCCTCCCTGTGAGCTCCCCAGGCCACAGGCCCAGACCACAGAGGTCCTCTGTGGGTCATTAGACCTGAGAGTCCCCACACTGGACTACAGCCACCTCCCTGAAGCCCGTCCGTGGCCTCTACTGGCCTGGGAGCAGCACCCAACAGAGGCCTCATCCCATCTGTCTCCCATCTGTTCCCCGGCAAAGGGTATGACCCAACAAAGGACACTTGGAAAGGTCTGCAGAGTGAATCCATGAAACCCCAGATGCTCCGGGTGGGACTCCCTCCACTGGCTCCCACCCCAATCCTTCCATCAGCAAACTCAGTGGGCCTGGCCTAATCTGGCTGCTTTCCCCTACTGTTGCCTTCACTATCACAGCCACCCAAGCCAGCACCCGCGGGCCTGGGCACAGCTGCAGCCTGCCGATAGGTCTCTACTCAGCCACCTCCTTCAGGCCATGGCCACAGCCATCTCCACGACACTTAACAGAAACTATAGTGACCACTCACTACATTGACAAGAATACCCTAAGGCCTCTCCAGGCCTACCATATCCCACATGGTCGGCCCCCCAGATCTGCTCCAGCCAAACCAGCCTACTGGCTGTTTCTGGAACAGCCCAAGCACACGCCACCTCAGGGCTGTTCTCTCTGTTCTGCTGCCTGGAGCACTCCCCCAGATATGCTCTTTTCATTCGGCTGCACTGGTATTTTTTATTGAGAAACAATGCACGCACCATTGTATGAATTCACACTTTTTTAAGTGTACAGTTCAGTGGTTGTTAGCATAGTCACAGAGCTATGCAGCCATCACTGTGATGTAAGTCCAGAACATTTCCACCACACCCAAAAGAAACCCCATGTATATTAGCAGTCACTCCCCATAACCCCTACCCTGACCCCTGACACCCACTCATCTCCTTTCTGTCACTGGATTTGCCTCTTCTGGACCTTTCATAGAAATGGAATCATGCAATAGGTGGTGTTTTGTGTCTGGCTTCTTTCACTCAGCATAACGTTTTCAAGGTCCATCCACATTGTAGCATGTATTGGTAGTTTGTTCTTTATTATTGCTAATTAGTTTATCCATTCACCAGTTGATGGAAATTTGGGTGGTTTCTATTTTGGGGCTATTGAGCATAATACTTCCTGTTCCTGTACAAGTTTCTGTGTGGACAGAAGTTTTCAGTCTTCTTGGAGATAAAGCTGAGAGTGGAGGTATTGGGTCAGGTGGTAAGTCTACGTTTACCTTTCTGAGGAACCGCCAGACTGTCTTCCATAGTAGCTGCCCCATTTCACATCCCCACTCGCTGTGCATGAGGGCTCCAATCTCTCTTCATCCTCACCAGTGCTTCTTATTTTCATTTTTTTTTATTATAGCCATCCTAGTGTGTATGAAGTGGGATTTCATTGAGGTTTAGATTTGCGTTTCCCTGATGACTAATGATGGTGAGTATCTTTTCATGCAGTTATTGGCTATTTGTTTGGAGAAAAGTCTATTCAGATCCGTTGTCCATTTTTGAGTTGGGTTATCTGTCTTTTTATTATTGAGTTGTAAGAGTTCTTTATAGATTCTGGATACTAGATCCTTATCAGCTATATGATTGACAAAGATTCTCTCTCATTCTGTGGATTCTCTTCACTTTTCTTTTTTTTTTTTTTTTTTGCTGAGGAAGAGTGGCCCTGAGCTTACATCTATACCAATCTTCCTTTATTCTGTATGTGGGTTGCCATAACAGCATGGCTTGATGAGTGGTGTAGGTCTGTGCCTGGGATCCAAACCCGCAAACCCAGGCTGCCAAAGCGGAGAGCACCGAACTTAACTGCTACGCCACTGGGCCAGCCCTCTCTTCACTTTCTTTAATGGTGACCTTTGAAGCACCAAAGTGTTTCATTTTAATGAATCCAATTGATCTATTTTTTCTTTTGTTGCTTGTGCTTCAAAATGATGACTTTTTAAAAATATCGTTATGAACTCATGGATCTAAATATACATGAAAGGTCTCAGTGTACTGCACTCAATGTCCTTACAATGTGCGCATTGTCCCCACAATGTCTCCCCTTTGGCCTGTGAGGGTTTCTATTGCTAGCTTGCTCCTGAGTCCTTTGGACATGACCGTAAGTCTTGGATGGCTGCCTTGCTCTCTGGTATGACAAGGTGTCCCTGATTCAACTCGTACATTTCCTGCCCCAAGCCTGTGTTACAACTGTGGTGTCATTGTTCTCGGCCTTTTCAGAGGACAAAGCAAGGAAATGCATATGTCTATACACACACATATGTATGTGTATGTGTATATGTATATGTACATATACATTTTTTCAGTTAAAATACATTAGGAGCTCACGCTGATATTCCCAATTCCAATTCCACACTATAGGGTTTGACCAAACCTAATGACCCTACTCCCGTATCTCCTTTCTCTTCTGCCCTGACTCCCAGCTCTCAATAATGCCAACATAAATTATTCTTTTGCTGTTATTTTTTATTCCTTAAAATGGAATGAAGAAGTGAGCCATGCTCCAACATGGATAGCCTTTGAAAATACTGTGCTAAGTGAAGAAGCCAGTCACAAAAGGCAACACAGTGTATGCCTCCATTTCTACGAAATAGAGATAGGAGAGTAGTGATTGCCAGTGCCTGCTTAAAGGGCACAGGGTCTCCTTTCAGGGTGATGAAAATGTTCTAGAACTAGACAGAGCTGATGGTTGCACAACACCAGGAATGTACTAAATGCCACTGAAGTGTATGTTTTAAAATGGCTTAAAAAAATTGGGCACCAAGTTTCAGTTTGGGAAGATGAAAAGAGTTCTGGAAATGGAAAGTGGTAGTGGTTACACAACACTATGAATGTGCTTAATGTCACTGACTATACACTGAAACATGGTTCAGATGGTAAATTTTATGTTATGTGTATTTTATCATAATAAAAACATATTTTAAAAAAAGAGTAGAGTTCCCTCAGGGTCTGCTGGGAAATTTTTGAAAAATGGTTAAAATTTTTTTTTTTTTAATAATTTTATTTATTCATTTATTTATTTATTTTCCCCCAAAGCTCCAGTAGATAGTTGTATGTCACACCTGCACATCCTTCTAGTTGCTGTACATGGGACACGGCCTCAGCATGGCCAGAGAAGCAGTACGTTGGTGCGCGCCCGGGATCCAAACCCGGGTCGCCAGCAGCGGAGCGCGCGCACTTAACCGCTAAGCCACGGGGCCGGCCCAATTAAAATGTCAAATTTTATGCTACGGGCATTTTACCACAATAAATGTTTTTAATAAAAACTAAGGGAAAGGTTATCATTCTGTGAGAGAGAGGGACCATATTCCTCTCCCACTGAACATCCACCCCTCAGAGCAGGACAGGACACATGCGGCAGGTGTCTGTAGTCTAGAAAGGCCAATGTCAGCAGGTGTGTCAGGGAGGCACACGCGAATCTGCAATTTCCTTTCAGGCTGGTGGTGATACACCATGTTCTCTCCTCCGCTCTCCCCAGCCCTGCACTCGGCTCAGCCCAAACTCAGAAGGGAGCATGGGGGTACAGACAGCGAGCTCCAGAAAAAGGAACCCCGAGTGCTCAGAGAGAGTGGGCAAAATCCCCGGCCTTTTTTCTCTCCTTCTTCTCTGCTCTCTCAGATCCCAGATCCCATGCAATATCACGGCAGGGTGGCAGCAGCAACAAAGGTGGACCCAACACTCTGAGGGCAGGGGACCTTCCTCTCCATTTGGTGGAGCTAGGGGCCAAACCCTGTGACTGCTTCTTCCCCTCTGTCCTCCTGCCACTGTGGTTCAGTCACAGAAGTGGGGGGTTTATGGCTGGAGGATGGAAAAGAGAGCCCCTTTCCCCGAGAACCAGAGAGTATCAAAGAGACAACATGGAGGGAAGAGCTTGGGAAAGTAAATCCATAAATCTATTTAGTAAATCAGTTTATGAACACCTGGGCTCACCCCCACCTGTGCAGGGGTGGGTCTGATCTTGGTGAGCATACTAAGACTTTGATTACTAAGCCAGGGGAGAACCAACGCCCAGGTCCCAGGATGACCACTGGGTGGTGTACATGCAGGACGGGCCTGAATAGCTGCACAAAACCTGTGGAAACCGAGCTGACACTGGGACCACAGTCCAGAGAAGAGGCCTTGAACTTGTAGCTTAAACTTAACCAGGTTAAGTGCCTGCTAAAACACAAATATCAACATTCTCCATAAAATTTAACAAGACCCAGAGTCAAAGTAATAGTCAAAATGTCCAGGACACAATCCAAAATTAGTTGGCACATGAAGAACCATAAAAATCTCAACTTGCATGAGAAAAGATAATCACCAGACACCAATGATGAGATGGCACAGATGCTGGAATTATCTAACAAATTTAAAGCAATCATTATAAAAATGCTGAATAAGTAATCATGAACACTCTTGAAACACAAGTTAAAATAGAAAGCATCAGCAAAGAAACAGAAAACACCTTTTTTAAAAAAAACACATGGAAACTTTAGAACAGAAAAATAGAATAACTGAAATAAAAAACTCACTGATGGACTCAACAGCAGAACAGAGGAGACAAAGGAAAGAGTCAGTGAACTTGAAAACATTAACAGAAACTATCCAATGCGAGCAACAGAGAGAAAAAAGATTGAAAAAAAATTAAGACCCTCATAGATCTGTGGTACAATAATAAAAGGCCTAATATGTGTGTCATAGAAGGCCCAAAAAGAGAGGAGAAAAGCACATAAGCTAAAAAAATATTTGAAGAAATAATGGCTGAAAACTTCCCAAGTTTGGCAAAAGACATAAACTTACAGATTTGAGAAGCTGAACGAATACAAATAGGACAAATTCAAAGAAATATTCCCATAAACGCATAACCAAATTACTAAAAACTAATGACAAAGAAAAAAATTTTAAAGTAGTGGGAGAAAAACAAAGCACGACCCATAGGAGGAAAATGATGCAAATGACTGCAGATTTGTCATTGGAACCCATGGAGAAAGACGAATTGCCAACCCAGAATTCTATATCCAGTGAACTATCCATCAAGAATGAAGGGGAACTAGATGTATGCAAATAAATGAAATCTAAGAGAATTTGGACCCAACAGGCCACTGCTAAAGGAATTGCTAAAGGCAGTTCTTCAGACAGAAGTGAAATATACCAGAAGGAAACTTGGAACGTCACAAATGAAGGAAGAATAGAATAAAGGACAAAACCCCATGATCATCTCAGTAGATGCAGAGAAAACATTTGACAAAATCAAACATCCTTCATGATAAAAACACTTAATAATCTAGGAATAGAAGGGAACATCCTCAACCTGATAAAGAGCATCTATGAAAAACCAACAGCTAACATCATACTCAACATTCACCATTGAGATGATGCTTTCCTCTCTTAGATGAGGAACAAAGCAAGGATGCCCAGTCTTGCCATTTCTATTCAACATTACACTGAAGGTGCTAGCCAGAGCACTTAGGCAAGAAAAAGAAATAAAAGGCATCCAAATTGGAAAGCAGACATAAAACTACCTCTATTCGCAGATGACATGATCTTCTACACAGAAAATCCTAAGGAATCCACTAAAAAACTATTCAAACTAACAAAGAAGTTTAGCAAAGTGGCAGGATACGGGAGCAATATGCAAAAATAAATTGTATTTCCACACACTAGCAATGAACAATACAAAAATGAAATTAAGAAAACAATTCCATTTACAGTACCATCATAAAGAAAAAAATACTTAGGAATAAATTTAACAAAAGTACAAGTACAAGACTTGTCCAAATTCTCTGAAAGCTACAAAATATCTTTGAAAGAAATTAAAGAAAACCTAAATAAATGGAAAGACAGCCCACATTTGTGGATAGGAAGACATAATATAGTACACGGCAATACTCCCCAAAGTGATCTACAGATTCAACACAATTTCCATCAAAAACCCAGTTGGCTTTTTTGTAGAAATTAAGAAGCTTATTCTAAAATTCATATGGAAATTCAAGGGACCCGTAATAGCTGAAACAATCTTAAAAAAGAGCAAAGCTAGAGGATTCACATGCCACTACTTACCGCAAAGCTACAGTAATCATGACAATGTAGTATTGGCATAAGGACAAACATATAGGCCAGTGGAGTAGAATAGAGAATATAGAAATAAACCCTCACATTTACAGTTAATTGATTTTCAACACGGGTGCCAGGACAATTCAATGAGGAAAGAACGGTCTTTTCAATAAATGGTGCTGGGACAACTAGACAGCCACATGCAAAAGAATGAAGTTGGACACACACCTTACACCATACATAAAATTAACTCTAAGTGGATCAAAGACCTAAATGTAAGAGCTAAAACTATAAAACTCTTAGAAGGAAACATAGGTGTCGATCTTCATAACTTTAGATTTGGCGATGGATTCTTAGATATGACACCAAAAGCACAAGCAACAAAAGAAAAAGTAAATAAATTGGACTTCATCAAAGCTAAAAACGTTTGTGCTCCAAAGGATAAATCAAGAAAGTGAAGGGCCGGCCCATGGCTTAGCGGTTAAGTGTGTGCACTCCGCTGCTGGTGGCCCGGGTTCGGATTCCGGGTGCACACCAACGCACCGCTTCTCCGGCCATGCTGTGGCCACGTCCTACATACAGCAACTAGAAGGATGTGCAACTATGACATACAACTATCTACTGGGGCTTTGGGGAAAAAAAAGGGGAGGATTGGCAATAGATGTTAGCTCAGAGCCGGTCTTCCTCAGCAAAAAGAGGAGGATTAGCATGGATGTTAGCTCAGGGCTGATCTTCCTCACAAAAAAAATTAAATTAAATTAAAAAACTGAAAAAAAAAGAAAAAGAAAAAACAAAAAGAAAGTGAAAAGACAATCCACAGAATGAGAGAAAATATTTGTAAATTAAATATGGGATATGACTCATATCCAGAATGTATAAAGAATTCTTACAATTCAACAATAAAAAAAACAACCCAATCAAAAAGTGGGCAAAAGAACTGAATAGAGACATTTCTCCTAAGATATACAGATGGTCAATAAGCACATGAAAAGATGCTCAACATCATTAGTCATCAGGGAAATGCAAATTAAAACCACAGTGTGATATCCCTTCACACCCACCAGGCTGGCTGGAATCAAAAAGATGGACAATAACAAGGGTTGGTGAGGACGTGGAGACATTGGACCCCTCAATTGATGTTGCTGGTGGAAGCATAAAATGGTGCAGCCACTTTGGAAAACAGTTTGGCGATTCCTCAAAAAGTTAAACGTAGAGTTACTACATGACCCATCAATTCCACTCCTAGCTATATACCCAAGAGAACTAAAAACACATGTTCAGTAAAAACCATATGGAAACATTCATAGCACTGTTATTTATAACAGCCAAAATGTGGAAATAATTATTTCAAAATTTAAAAAATTTTCAGGGTTTCTTTGACTGATGCAGGGATGGATTAGAGCTGCCTCTGTATAAAAACTGGCGGCGGGCAGCATCTGGGGGAAAGCGTGTGGGCTTGGGAGCCAGGGCCTGGGGTTGAGGCTAGGCTCTGTCATCGGGTGACCTCCTCTGTGAAATGTGGCTAAGACAAGTACCCACCACCAAGGGTGGGTGTGATGATCACTGGCATGTAAAGTACTTACTACAATGCTGCTGTGTATGAAGTCACCGAAAGAGGACAGGATGCACTCTCTGTCCCTTTGGTCATCATAAGCCAGAGATCTGCCTTGGCCTCCTCAGCTACCCTCCCCTCTCAGCCCCAGGGATGGCTGGGGTCTACCCAAGGGAATCCTATGGGTTCCTGTCCCCGGGGGCTAGGGAGCAGGGGCTGGGGATGCTGGCTCCCAGGCCTCAGGCACAAAGGCTTGGGGAAAGAAACCCCTCCCATCCCCATCCTGGCCTCACCAAGGCCCCTGGCCAGTGGGGAGAGAGAGGGCCCTCTCTTACCTTCAGGAGCTCCTGGTCATCTGGCCCACACAACATCAGCTCGTGGCCTAATTTCACCATCTCTGTCAGAACACAAGGGTCCTGTTACTGCAGACACTGTGCACCCAGGGGGCACACAAATATGCAGGGTGCGGAGCGCTTCCCTGAGAAGGTTGCTCCTACTCCAGTGTAGGCAGGCCCAGCACCCACAAGGCAAGGCTGGGCCTGGGAGACCCTGGTGGACAAGGAGGCAGGTGGACGACATACCCAGGTGCCTGGACTGCCTCTTGCCGTGTGAGCTGCACCCAGTCAGTGCCCCTCTCTGGGCGTCAGTTTCCTCACCTGAAAATAAGGAGTTGCATCTAATGCTCTTCCACAGAGAATTCTGGCTTCTAGAGAAACCAGCCAGCTACCCGCGGAGCCGACAGAGGTCAAAGAACCTTCCAAACATGCTGTGGGCCGCCCTTTCAGAGACCTCGCCAGGCCAAAGCAAACAGGACTGCCACTGACGCTTGTCAATTTCCTACCGGCCCTTCACATCATCATCTCCTTTCATCTTGCCAGGAACCCTAGGAGGTGGGCCTTAGCTCCATTTTACAGATTGGGAAACTGAGTCCACGCAGGGTGCAGGGACTGCCCAGCCACATCTGCCAGGGTGCCCTAGTCATTTTCTGAGTAACCATCTGGTGTACAGAGAAAGGCCAGTACTTGGAGCCAGAAAGCCTGGAGCAAACGCCAGCTCCGCACCCCCCACCTAGCCCTGTGGCAATGCCCTTCCCCCCTCACAGGCAAGGCCTGTCTCCTACCTCCTCGTACCTAGTGGCAGAGCAGGCATAACTCTGGCATCTGCTTTGGAAGGGCTGGTGCAGGAAGCAAGCAGAGCATCTATGTGAAAGCACTTGTAATCCTTGGAACGCCATACGAATGCAGTTATAGCCCCAAGCACACCTGCTGGTTCCACAGCCCTTCACCCCAAATCCTTGTGTCCTCCCTGAGCCCTCTCTTGCTTAGTCCACATCAAAACCTCAGTGCCCCATCACCCCTCTGACCTCACCCCACCACTCTCCCTAGTCTCCTTGCTGCCCCTCAGAGTTGCCTACCTCAGGACCTTTGCACTCACTGCTCTCTCGCCCCAAACACTCTTCTTGATATCTGCCAGGCTCGCTCCCTCCCTTTCTGCAAGTCTCTGTTTAAAACGGAGGCTTTCCTCAGCCACCTATGTCAACAGTACCACCCTTCCCCTAACCCACCCAAGCACCACTTTGGCGTCACCTGGCTTTCTTTACGGCGCTTATCACTGTCCCATACACTGAGAATTCTGCTGCCTTCTTTATCACCTGTCTCACCCAGCATGCACATAAGCTCCAGGAGAGCAGCACAGTCCATTGCTGTACCACCAGCCCCTACAACAGTGCCAGGGGCGCCACAGGTGCTCCATAGATACTTGTCAAATGAACTTGTGCATGCTAAACCCGTACTTGTCCCTGTTTCTCCTGCTTACACCCTCTGACAAGCACTCACATCTACGACCTGCTCTGACACTCTGTGCACTCCCACGAGGTGGGCAAGGCTGAGGTTATCACCCACACTTTACAGAAGAGGAAACTGAGGCTGGGAATGGCATGGTCAAGGCTGTGGCTGGGTTAAGGGCCAGGGTTAGCAGCTGTGCATGTGTGTGTTGGAGAATTCAGGTGTGGTCTGATGGTTAGGCTCACATGGCCTTGATGTAGTCCCATCAGTAGGAAGGTCCTGGACATAGCGCTGGGGAGAAGGGCAGCGTTTCTGGGCAGCCCGAGCCTGCCCACAGGCCAGCCCACAGGCTCCAAAACACAACGCCCTGTTCTTCTGGCCCATTTCAGCCTCAGAGACAACTGTCCCCAGATAATTAAATTGGCAGTGCCAGCTGGGGCATGGATGACGACCCCAGGTTCCAGTTCACCCAGCCTGTTGTAGTGGTTGGGCCAAACGCAGGCCCATGGAAAATTTGACTTTTGGAGATACCATTGTGAAGGTGAAGAGTTAGCCACCAACTTGAGGATTGCAATTTGCTCCCCTTACTTAATGCTCATTACTGGGTTAAGGATAGTTTCTGCCAGGAAAGGATAGAAAAGAAATGACTACAAGACAGCCCTGGTGGAGAGCTGCCCAGCGTGCTCCCAGAGACACCAGGTGTAGCACCATTAAGACAGGGAGAGACCACTGGTGACATGGGCAAGAACCACTGTCTCTGCCCACAGTGCCTTGGTGGACGGGCTGGCAGGGAGACATACTCTGGGTCTCATCCATGTGCCCCTATGAGAGGAGCTCTCCAACTCACCGAGAAGGCTCTCACAATATCCACAGCGTGTGCACCATCCAGAAGAAAACACCAGTCCAATTGGAAATTCACAACAGCTAAGGAGGCTGTGTACAAGCTCAGAATTCCCCAGAATCCACCACCCAACTCCAAACTCCTGTAACGCAGACCCACCTTGGATCTTCACCTCAGCCGGGGTCGCCTTTGGCGAGCTGAACTTGTCCTGCCAGGAAGGAGAGACCCTGCAGGGAAAGAGCAAAACCAGTCAGGCTTGAGCGGGCCACAGAGGTCCGCTCACAAGCCCTCGTTACATGCGCTCTAGAAAGTGGATGACTTGTGCACATGCTAAATGCCATTGAAATGTTCACTTTACAACGGATAATTTTATGTGATGTGAATTTCAACACCATAAATTATCAAGAGAAAAAAACTAAAAGATTTCTGAAAGTCTACCTCAGAAATGTGAATTTGAATACTGAAATTAAAATTTTCACAATAAAACAATGAAATGACTGCCCAAGAGGAAAAAACTGAAGTCCTCAGAGCTCTGAGCTCTTTCTCAGAAGGAACCAAGGGGCTGTTTTTTCTTTAAATCATGGGGCAGGTTTCTTTGGAGGATGTCCGATGAGGCCCTCCCTGCTCTGGTGGCTTTGCCGGCCCTGCCTGGGTCCTCCTATCACCCCTGCTCTTCTCATCATGGAGTGCTTTCTTCCTATGCAGCCCCAGCACACCAAGTCAGCTCTGCTCATCCTGTGAAGCCCACGGCTGACAGCACCTGCCCCAGGGGGGCAGCCCCCTTGGCATCCTTCCATCACAGTGGGGCCTGGGCACCATCCTTCCACTGGACTCTTGCCTCCCAGACTGTGGGCTCACCAAGGCCAAGAGCTGGCTTTCCGTTCCATACTTCTGAGGCCCAACGCAGCAGCCAGCACAGAAAAGGTGGCCAGTGAGCATTAACGAATGAGTTATCATGGCCTCCCGCCATGGAATAATCTGTCATTAGTAAATGCCCACGTTTAGCTCTTTCAACAGAGCTAAGAAAGGCATAAATCAGTGGGAGATGATGCTACGCCAGGTCATGGCTTTAAGCCATTTCAGGGCTCCTAGTGTGATGGTCTCTGGGGTTACAGCCCCAGCCTCCCCAGTGGGGAGACAGTAATCCCAGCTGTTCCCCTTGGCCTGGTGGAACCCTGGCCTTGACAACACCACACAGATAAACAGGACAGTGGCCACTTGTAAGCATCTCACCTTAAGACACCAAGCTGACAGGCAGAACTGTTTCTAAACACAGACCACATCCAAAGGCAGTAAGGGCCCCAATACTCTGGCAGGCATCACAAGCAACACACGGCTCAGGCCTCCCGCTGAGTCTCCTCCATGAGCAGGCACGGTCTGAGCATTGCACTTGCAGCCCTGAGCTCTGGGCCTGGCACAGCACTGAGGCTGTGGGAACATCACTCCAGCCGCTGAGACCGACGCCTGCCTGCCAGGGAGCCACAGGAGCTGGCCGCCATGGCAGGCCCTCCCCACGTAAAGATAAAGAGGCTCCTCCACTGGACAGCTGGACCACTCTGCCATTGTGGTGTGCGGGCCTGGGCCCCAGCCCTAGGGATCTGCTGACTCAGCATGGTGGGAAAAGGCACAGTGGCTGTTCCATGGACAGGTCTCACTGGTCATTCCCTGGGACAATGCCTCCAAATGCCTGTGTCCCAGGTCACACCGGCCCCAACCTTGCTGGGGCCCTGGGAGCTAGCAAGGCCACTCTAGACCTGAGGCCCGGGGCCCCACGCTGCAGGACTACAGTAGAGAGGGGCTGGACCCAGCAGCCTCAACTGCGTCACCTGTCTTCATGACTCATTAAGGCAACCACTCACTCGCCAAAAAGGGCTGGGACAGAAAGGGCAGGAGGAGAAGGAGCCCCCACCGTGTGAAATGCTAGGAGGCTGGCCCCTGAGCCTGGTTGCTGGGCAACGCTCCCTCTCACAAGGCGCCAAGGAGCGAGAGCACTCAGCGATCCAGCAGGCACAGGCTGGACCACAGCAAACCACTTCAACACACTAAAGAACAAATCCACAAAAGCTGAAGTGACCTCACTCAGAAAGGGCTTTCATTAAAGTTGATTCTCCTAAAGCAGCAGGGAGCAGAGCAGAAACTAATGGCGCTCAGGGCCTTGAAAGCAAGTACAGCTCTTCGGGAGCCAGAGACTCATGTGCCTTGAATTCAGCAACCCAGGGGGCCCTGGGGCTTGGCCCCACCCCACGCTGAGGGCCAACACTGGGTGCAGCTTCCAGGTTCCTCCCGGAGAGGGGTGAACAAGGTGGCCCTAAACCGAAGGCTGAAATGGTAAAGCCATGTGCAAAGAAAGCCAGTATGAAATTGGGGGTAACCCAAACGCTGTCCAATCCTCTTTTCAGGCCCTTGAAAGGCTTACAGCACTTTTACCAACTTGGGATCATAAAAAGCAATTGTACGTTCCCTGATTGCTTCATGAAAAGATTTGGTTTCTTGTATTTAAAAAAGTACTAAAAGCATGTGAGGAATGTAGTCATAGACTGCCACCCAGCCCTCTCTGGCCAGCAGAATGACCCAGTCCCCAGCTTCTGGGCTCCTTCCCACGAGAGCCTCTCCAAGACGTGGCTTTGGCCTCCCTCCTCCTGGGAGCGTGCTCAAGACCTCCGCATTAGCCTAGGCCATCCCCGCTCCTGTCTCTCCTCCCAGGTTCCTGGACCAGGCGCTGGTCCCTCCAAGGCTGGCAGTGGCTGTCACAGGAGCCATCTGCCATTCCGAGCCAGGCTCCTGCCATCTTTTGCCAGGGCTGATGCCACACCCTCCATGTTGGTCTCCCCATCTCCAGCCAAATCCATCTGCCACAGAACCACCGAGTCACCCTGCCAAAATGCCAATTTCAGTCTGTCACTCCCCTGGTCCCATGCTGATCCTGCCCAGAGCGTAAAGTTCAAAGGCCTTCACGTGGCTTGCAAGCCTCCACATGGGCTGCCCCAAGCTGCCATTCAGGCCACTGCTGCCTGGCTCTCCCTCCCACAATTCAACTCCCCGCTCCCATTTAAACGAGCACCTACCGTTACCTGTTCCCTCCAAGACCAAATGCCACCTCCTCCCCGCCAATGTCCACAGCACTCAGACCACGGGGGTGTGTCCAACACTGGGATTGTGTCTGCACCTTTTACAGCCACTTAAGGTCCAGCTCCTTGAGGACACCTATCTATGTCTAAGGTGCCTGGAAGGGCACGTGGGTGCACATGTGTCCATGCACCTGCTTGTCCACCCACAGCCTGGACCATGTCTCAGGTATGTGCAACACCACACTGTGGGCTGGGGTTGGCGGGGGAGGCCCGCCCGGTGCCTGCCCTTCAGCAGCTCCCAGTGCTTTGGAGAGCCCGACTGGACGGCAGACCAAGACAGAACCAACGGGCTGAGGGCTCCGGCAGGGATGCGCTCAAAAGATTGTGGGTGCTAGGGAAGGAGGAATACATTTTGCCCTTGGAACTGGAGACTTTTTAAAAGGAAATGGGACGTGTGAGCTGGGTCTTTGAAGCTGTATAGAAGTATGTGTGACAGGCAGAGACCTGAAGGGCGTTTCCAGGAGGGACAAAAACATCAGCAAGAGCAAAAGGTTATGAGAGCACTGGCGTGTCAAGGCCTGGGGCTGGGCCTGGAGAAGGCCCTGGAAGGCAGCAGGAGGCGCTGCTAGAAAGGCAGAGGTTTAAACATGAAAACACTTCCTCCTTCCTCCTGGCTGTCCCTAGGACACCCCAGGCCAGGCCTGCTGAGGTCCCCCAGCCCGGAAGGGGCACCAACTGGGTGCTGCTCCACCACCAGGCTCCTGGCCAGGCGTCTCCTCAGCTGCGAGGGCACACAGGTCAGGTTGAAGAGGGGCAGGTCCAGGCCTGGCCTCATGAGAGACTCCCACACTGACTGAGCATGGCCACTCCAGAGAGGGCCCTGGGGGTCTCTCCCAACAGCACAGGAAGCTATGCTCCACAGGAGGCATGGGCAAGCCTTCCCCACCGGAGCCTTAAGACAGATGCTCAGCTCAGGGGCTGCTGCTCCTAAGGAACAGACATTCTGCAGGACTCTCTGGATCTTTCCCCTTGCCATTTGGGCAGGCTTTGCTTCCCTTGCACAGTCCAAGCACACACATCAAGCCACACCTTGACTCAAAGGACTGGGAAATGGGGTCTTAGCCCTGCTTATCACTCACTTCTTGGTGGCAAGACCCAAGACAGTTCACGACTGCAGCCTGACCCTCAGCTTCCCAGTCTAAAGATGAAAGTACCACAGTCAATCATTTCTCAGGTCCTTGCCAGCTCTGAAACTAGTAGTTAAAGCAAGAAAAATGCTCAGAAGCCAAGCTCAGCACTTCAGCAAAGTAGTGAATAGACTGGCTGAAGCACTGCGGGGCAGGGGGACACTTTCACCCCCCAATTTAAGCATGGCTCCAGAGCTGGCATCTGCTCTCATAGTGCCCTGAGGTAGGATATAGAGCCCTCTGGGAGGACAGCTACTTATACCACTAACAAACCCCATCTTCCCCTGGTGGGTTGAGTGGTACCTGGTGTACCCTCGGGCTGGGCAAGGAAGAAACAACGACATTACCGTGTACACATCCACTCCAGGATTTCCAAGCGGTACTTCGAGGGGCTGCACAGCAGTTCCTGAATGGTCTGTGGTTCTGTGATGTAAAGACCCTTGAGGAAGGGGCAGTTGAGGTCCTAAGCAAAGAAAGGGAAAGCCAAGAAGCTCCAGAAAGCCAGCATCCCTGAAGGGCTGAAATGCACCTCTGCGATCATGCTCTTGGTGCTCCTTCCTTCACACACGTCTCCTGCCGCCCAGCTCCCACCGGGCTTGTCAGTGCTCACACGCTCCTCACCCCAGTGTGCACGCCGGCACACCCGCAGCACACCGCAGCGCTCTCCCTCCATCTGGCCCAGAGGTAAGTTCCCCTCATTCTCAGCCCACATCTCGGGCTGCCACTTCACCTTCTTCAAGTACGCCCCCTCTGGGCTCGTGTAGCAGTTTGACCTAGTAGCAACTAGAGGCTTTAGAGAGATTTTGATCCAGGATCCCGGCTAGAGGACCAATGGGAAAGTTGGGGGGGGGAGGCGAGGGGAGGGGCAGTGCGTGCGGGACCTGGGACAGCTACCAGACCTTGTGGGGCGGGTTTCCTCACTACTGCCATCTGGCATCTGATGCTGACTCGACCGGGTGGCCCGGACTCTGCCCACCCGTCTCCCCCTAGACCCCGCGAGCTCCTTGAGCCTGGGGCCTGTGCCAGCAGAGTTCCGTGCGACTGAAGTTACGGTGCAGTACACGCTGGGCGCCGGCCCGCATTAGCAGGCACGGGCAGTGGAGACAGCAAGAGCGAAGGCCCCGGACAGCCCAAGGAGCTGAGCCGGACGCCCCACCAGCCGCCCCTGCGGCGGGGCACAGCGCGTGGCCCGGAGCCGCGACAGGGGCCGCCTGGTGCCACCGACTTCCGCAGCAGGCCCTGCCCGCCACGTCGCCCGGCCCCCGCCGCCCTGGGGTGGCTTCCTGCGTTCGCGTCACCTTCAGCTTCGCGAACACCTCCACGGCCGCCTCGAACACGCTGTCGTCGCCCTCGTCCTCGTAGCCACCGCCCCCACCACCACCACCACCACCACCACCACCACCACCACCACCAGCGCCTAGCCCGGCCATGTTTCGCGCTCCAAGCCGCGCCCCGCCCATGCCCCGGGCTCACTGGCCTGCCTGACTGCCAATCACGCGCAAGCCCCTTGCTCCTCCC